CACACACACACACACACACACACACACACCTATATATACATAGCTATTCAGTTATATATATATATACACACACATGTATATACACACATATATACATATATACACCACAACTATAGCACTATAGCATCTTGTCATCAACTGTCTTTTGAGATAGTTTCAGACTTTTTCCAGCCTGACTACGAGAGAGATCAGGTATTTTATTTTCGACCTTCTGGCTCCAGTTCACACCCTTTGCAGACCTTAGAGGACATCTGATAGCAAGCAAGCCATAAGCTGTAACTCACAACTATAAAAAATAGCAAAAAATCAACCTCTAAGACAATATTCAAACACAGAAACTACTTTACTTCTGGGGTTTGATATCTATACTTCTTTGCAATTTCAGAAAAACACAGGAATTGCGAGTAGCATTGTGAACTGTTTCCAAAATAACCATACTTAACACTAGGTTAGGCTTTTACTAACTCGGTGGTGGGCAAAAATCTCAAAGAGTGAAATCCTTTTGCTTTAGAAAAAGAAAAAACTCACATATACACACAGAAGCTGAGGTTAGAAGTAACCAACCCTCAGCTTTAAAGTGGATTGCTTGGGCTGGCAGGTGGTATGGTGGTTAAAGACGCTAGACTCTCACATGGCCAACCACGGTTCAAGTCCTGGACCTGGTAGCTTGCTTTATCAGTTTCTCTCTCTCTCTTTCTCTTTCTCTCTCTGATTGAACTGTAAAATAATAATAATAATAAATAAATAAAGTTAAATAAAATAATTCTTTAAAAAAATTAAAATATAATGTGTTTCTTTACATGTTGAAGAAAACAAGAGATGTGTATTTTTTTTTCTTTTTAGTTACTGGAGGGCACATGCACTTGCCAGAGAGAAACATAGAAATAGAGAGACAAAGGAAGGGGGAGAAATCATCCTGATAGAGTGTAGTCAAGCCTCAATTTCTTCTCTATTTCTCCCTTAAGTTACAGCTCAACCCTAAGATGTGTTTATAAAGACTGAGCCCTAAAGTAGACTATTGGGAACTAGATGGGCAGAATGGCCTTCAGTTTGTGTTAATGTGTCTCTAATCAGGGGAAAGAAGGTGAGATTTCAACTTGCCATAGCTTGAGTGAAGAAGCCTATCAACCAGGAACTTAGGCCACCTCAAGCGCTTCCTCCAAGCCAGGACTTAGGGGGAGACCATGGTGTCACACAGCAGGATATTGGGAACTAGATGGGCGGAATGGCCTTCAGTTTGTGTTAATGTGTCTCTAATCAGGGGAAGGAAGGTGAGATTTCAACTTGCCATACCTTGAGTGAAGAAGCCTATCAACCAGGAACTTAGACCACCTCAAGCACTTCCTCCAAGCCAGGACTTAGGAGGAGACCATGGTGTCACAAGCCTATAAGGTTGGGGTAGTAACAAGCCCAGGAGATGAGATTCAGAACAGAGACCAAGTCTTTCACAGAAGCAGGAAGTTGGAGACAATAGTGACCCTGGGCAAAGCCACTGCTCCCTGACTTGGGTTAGGGGTTGCTCCATCCACCCAGGCTATGAGGTTCATGTCCTATTCAATGTTAAAACACTAAGATTCCCAAAGTCTGCAGAGCTGAGAGACTCCCCAGGAGTAGACATTGGGCTTCCATTAATTTCTTTCAGCTGTTGTTGTTGTCACTAAATGTTAAAAACTGAAGTAATAAAGGACATTTATTTACAATTTAAATAAAATGCACAATGAACATATCAATTCACACGAAAAAAAAACATGCTCACTGCAGCTACTGGGTATTTGTTGATGTTGCAATTGCTAAGCCTGGATCCTGCTCAGACTGGAGAGACTCCTGAGGGTATGGTCAGCTACTGTCTCCTGTCCCCTTGTCTTGACCAAGAACATGCTCCAAGAACCACATAGAAGCAACTGAGCAGGCTTCATGCCTAGAAATGCTATTTACAATAGTGAGAACGGACACCTAGCATGCTCAGTGTAAGATGGCTGAACAAATGGCAGGCATCCATTGATGAACTATCATGCAATAAAACCATTAAGGAATGTTGGACTTCAATGTAAAGTGAAAAAATAAACTATGATTTTAATTATGTAAAAATAGTTCATTGTGTATGTATGTAATGACAAGAAAAGACCATACAAGTTAGAATACAATTAGAATAACAAATATAGTTTATTTTAAAATTGTTCCTATTGCTATAGTGCTGCTTCTAAAAAAATTAAAATCCAGAAGGGGAAAAAATAAGTGTTATTAAGATAATTATAAGAGCTTTCTTTGGGACCAGCAGGTGGCATGGTAGTTAAGGCACTAGACTCCCACATGGTTGACTGTGGTTCAAGTCCCAGACCTGGAAGCTTGCTTTCTCACTTTCTCTCTATCTGCCTCTCTCTGGTGAGAGCACATGCTCTATAGCACATTTTGAATAATTATGAATAAAATTAAATAAATTATTGTGTTTTTAAAAAAGCATTCTTCCATTTAAGCTAATTTATTTCCAAGAACAGTAGAATTGTAACAATCTATAGAGTTAGGTATGAAGAGAACTATGATATGCATTATTCATCTGCTACAGAATTTTTTTTCTGTTCAAAATTTTCATAAGATTTTTTTAAAGGAACTACCATTATAAAATATAATAAAATTAAGAGTTTTTCAAAGTAAATATAAAAACAAAGAAGCTTTCTTTATCTTACAAGTATTTGGTTCTTACTCACTAAATAAACATTTATTTGAGCCCATTTATCCACTCAGTTAGATTTTATCCCACAGTTTATGCCAACACCCCATGTACATAGAACAAAAACAAAGAATTTACAGATATCACTGGAGAACAGGAGGACCTTGTGAAAAATAGGTCAATTTAAAGACATTCGCCCAGAGGGCCCTGGCCCCAATATTTCCACTGCAGTAGCATGAAAGATGTAAACATATTCACATTTCACCCCCCTGGGGATCCATGCTAACCCAGTTGTGCAAGCCAGAAACCCAGCATTATCTTAAGTCTCCCCCCTCACAACTGGAGGAGTGTCAAAGGCCACCCATTCCTACTGCCCGCACTTTTACGCCAAAATAGGAGAAATACACCAGTCACTGCTGCAAACACACTAAATGCACGTACTCATTTAATCCTTATATTCTAGGGAGAGATAAAAATAAGAATAAATAAGCCAAGCTAAGATATATGCTTAAATAAGTAATCTAGTAAAGGGCAGAATTAGAATGTGAACCTAGTCAGTCAGGTGGCTCCAAGGTCTAGGCACAGCACCTGTACTGTTTCAACCGTGCTATTAGACGCAACACTTACAAATATAATTCCTCACTTGTGCAAGGACATCAATAGGAGGGATTTCCAGAAGTGGGTATGTTATACATTTCATTGCATATGCCATTGCTTTTCTCTGAATCAACTAGAGCACCTTGGGGGCAGGGCACACATTTCACTTATCCACCTAGAATCTGATACATAGCAGAGGTGCAACAAACACTTTCACCCTTTCTTTCTGCATTCACACCACAGATATTTACTGAGCACCTGCTGTGTGCCAACCACTGTTCTGGGTACTGAGGAATACACTGGTGAATGAACTGGAAAAAAATGCTTGACTATCTTGGATCTTGCATACTAATGGAGGACCCAGAGAAATTAACAAATAACTAAATCTGTGTTACATTACATGATAAATTGAAAAGAGAAAAGTAAGGCAGAGAAGGATAAGTACACGAGTTACTATATTAAGTAAATAGTCATCAGATAACTAACTGAACAAAATATTCCTGATAAAGATGTTTCCCTCGGCAAAATAATAATTGTGAAAAAAATTTAGACAGCTCAGGTGTACCAATACTGAGGAGTGGATAGCCTGATCTCTCCCTCACTGAACTGTTAGGTCTCCATGAGTTAACATACCAGAGAAAAGCAGTACCCAGTAAACCAACTCCTCCCGGTAAAATTGCGTTAAGGGAAATAGACTAAACAAACCTACATTACAGTGAAATACCCTGTTCGTAAAGAAAAACCCACTGATGCAGACACTACCACACTAACAACCAATGAGAATGTCTCACCTGCTCATCCTTGGCCTTAAATTTTTTGTACAAATTTTCAGCTGGAATTGTCCTCATCCCAAAGATTACACGAAAAAGAAAACATCCCCTTTAACATTTTCTTTATTTTAAGAAAGAGAGAGAGAGAGAATGCTCCAGCTCTGAGGATTTGGCAAAATGGAGTTTAAGGTCGATTATTGAATTCTTTAAACGAGAGATTGTCAGCAGAAAAAAATCACATATGTTTACTGTGGACTTTAAAATCTGAAATAATGTCGCTTTCTAGTGGTAGATCTGCTACCAGAAATGGCATGTATGGGTGTGAATACTTATCTAACAGTATCAAAAATAAAGGCTAATCATAATAACCTGATTTCTGCTTCATTAAAGCATACAATTACAGAACGTTTATTAAAGCATTCATACAAGTTTTGTTTGAGCGATTGCCACCTGCTCAGCCTTGGTGCTACAATTTCCATAAAGTTCAAAAAAGGTATGGATTAACCCGTAAGACTGACACCAAGGAATGACTCTGAGTGGATGTGTCATGCTCAGCTCTGGTTATCCACATTGCGTCGCCTCATGCTTCCAATTCCATTAATATTCTGTTAATGCATTAAATGCATGCGATGTTTGTCTCTTAAACAGATTTTCAGTTCTGCTATTAGAACAAATGCCCAAAACACCACTTAAAGTTTAAATTCTACTTCTCGCAGTTGTTTTGTTGTTCTTCCAAATCAACCCTTTTCTGACAAAAATTCTACAGAGTTGCTTTCATGCTGATCTTAAATTCAGCTAGTTTGTCCCTTAGGGCAGGTTCTGACTTAAAACAATCCAGTCCTCCCCAAACTCCCCTGCAGTGTGGGCATTTGTAGCTGCCAGGAGGTGGGGGCAGGCATCTCAGAGCCCACCCCGACCTCTCTCCAGACCTCATGGGAACCCTCGGGACCACAGCGAGCACTCACCGGGTGCCTGAGCCTGCACAGCCAATTCTTCCAGAGCAGGGCTTGGAACTGGCGCCTGGTAAGCCCCATGCCTGCCACTCCCTGCCTCTGGTCTGGTAGCCAGCCGGGAAGGAAGGTGCTTATATCTGCTGGGCTCTGACAAGGATATGTCGCCGATTAGTCAATCCTAACAAGAGTGATGCAAGAGAGATTACTGGAGACTGAATACAGCCGGCATCAAATGTCCCCTCTTGTTCTGCATCTGCTGAGAAATCCTATCTTTTCACTAGCTGTTCAGCGTTCTGTTCGGGGAGGGCTGGGTTACAAGAGTCAGCCTTGAGGCCTTTCCCAGGCCTGCACGCAGAGCGTGCCCACTCTTTC